ACAGGAATTCTGTGGCACCATCTAAACCACAGCTGAACTGCACAGGGTTTAGAACAGGCCCCTACAAAAGCTTTTTGCATGAGAAGAAGCCTCAGTCGGAAAAGCAGCTTCCAATGACAGATTAATGACATACAGAGTAAAGAACAACAATGACATCTTTTGCATTCCCTGTATCAGGGAGGTACACAGACATCCTACACCCTCAAGACATCTTAATGCTGCTCTTTTTTTTTTCTACTGAACTTTGTAGCCCAAATGTCTAATTCCAGTGGACTTACAGATAAAATTTTCTTGTGGTGTGGGTGAAAGGGTGGTGATAACTTCCAAACTGTATTTAAAAAGGCACAAAATCTTCTCCACAGAACCGCAGAATGTGTCTTTTGCGCGGTAGAAAACATAAATCTAGAACTGAGATTAGGGGAGTTAACACTGGCAAAAAGGCAAGAAATTCTCTATAACAAGAATGTGGGAAGCTTTGGCACCAAAATCAAACTGCTTTTGCAACGGTAAAGTATATCTGCTGTTGAGCGATGGGCAAACATCAGTATCCTATTAGCCAAAATGCAGAGAAGGAATTTATTGAAATGAAGAAACTCACATATTATTGACTTGTTTCCAGGAAAAGACATACTGTGTTTGCCAGGAGAGACGCATCTAAATTTGAAATATTTAATATAGGCTCTTCTTTACAGTCTGGACTGACCTGTATGGGCAGTGATGAATTAATTTCCACTGATTTGTCCCATATCTGAATATAAATGACTTATATGACCCCGCCCAAACTCCTCATATCGTATAAATAATCCCTTTATTTCACCTTTTATTTTTTAAGGGTCTGACACTATTCTTTGATAGAGATAATATTAGTTATTTTAAATCCATTTCATGCAGCTACCTTCAGAAGGAAGGTGGTTACATATCTAAAGAGACAGATACCGTTTTAATACATCATCTACTAAAACATAAAGTATTATGTAAATACGTATACACAATACAAGTTTATGAGAACTATTACTAAAACAGAAATGAAAGAAATATAGTCATGTATTTTGTTAAGTTATTTTAAATGATATATTAATTGTTAAACTGGTCAGAGAAGTTAACCATTATCTCTCCGATACATAATATACATGTGTAATATTACTAACATTTTAATCAGTGACCATACCATTTTGTAGATTTAATAGAATTGTTCATTGGAGTATCAGAATATTCAGTGCAATTTATTTAAAAAGGCCACATTCTTAAAGTTTGGTATCTCATTTGAACTACAGCTGTTAAGAAGAGTTATAAGAAATAAAAACATGGTCAACTGATATAATACCAGTGAAACATAGGACCACCTCCCACATGACTAATGACGATTGTCTGGTACGTTATCCACATGAGAAGAGAAGTCACTATGGGAAGGAGATGTTCTGCTTGTACACTCGGCAGACTAGTCCAGAGGAACCTGGAAGCCCAATTTTGGAAGGCGGAGGGTCACAGACCGATAGCCATCTGTCGGATCTGCAGCATGGGCTGTAGACTGCAGCAGCAACAGCACAAGACCGTACCTGTATGACTATACAGGCAGCTCACACTTGGCGAGAAAACGATCTGCACTATCAGGGGCCAACATGGAGACGGCAAAGAGCCGAAACGAAGAGATGGGTGGCGTTTCATCCACTGATGAATCCCGTCAGACAAACCTGACTGCAGGCATTCCAATGTCGTGTGCGGAGATGTCGGGACTGTGTGTGATGCTGACTGGTCGGTTGTTTGAGCCAACTAGTAGGGTGGTGAAAGTGTTATGAAGTCAGGAGGAATCTCCTTAAACAAGAGAAAGGCTTCTTTTTTTATCAGCACTTTTGTTTACATTCCAGTCACTTGTCTGATATCTAGGTTTGGAGTTAATACAGTATTTTATTTGACCCTGTTGTTGCTTTTTGTCTGTGAATCTGTATATATTGACATGGGCTCATATGTTCATACACAGCGTATTTTCAGGTTAATTCATACCCTGATGAAAGTTGAATATATTTTAATGAACAGATCAGTTAATATATGCTTTCACATATTTAGAAAAAGATGGAAACACTATCAATCACTTCAAGATGAGTACTGGACAAGAAAGACCGCTAGCACTGAACAGGAAGTATTTCTACAAGATGTTCTCTGACTGTTTCAAGGCATTTGGCAACAAGTGTCTGCCACAACAAAACAAAACAGAAAACGGTACAAAAGCACCCCTCACTAGCAATGGTAAAAGTGTTGTATAAAGTCTAATAAATAGCAAGATATGCAAAGAAAAGGGCAAATTACATAGAGACTAACTGAATCCAAAAATAAAATAACCATGAAACTGCTGTGGGCCTGTTTACTTTAGGAGGATTTCCTAAACGTGACATCACTGATTCTTCTTATCCCTTAGAAAGAGTGAAAGCTTTTTAAAGCATGACCTGACAGAAAAAGGAGCCAGCAAATCAATACACCTAAATACTTAATGCTTGAGGTGATAATTATAGTAAGGAAACCATTAACACATTTATCCAGTTTCGCATTTCTGGAAAAAACAAACGTGACATAAACAAAGGCCTGATATAAAATTAATCTAAAAAATATTTCCTGAGCTACTTCAGACGTAAAAAGAAATGAACATCTGTTCTAACCCAACACAGACCATGGTGTAAGCATGTACCTATTAACTGAATAACTGTTTACATGTGAACTGGCCTGTAGAGGATGGAACAGAATTGGGGGTACCAGAATATTTTGGGTGAATACAGTACATTACACCCCAACAGATTCACCTGGTTAGGCTGCCATAGAGTCAACATAAGCTGTACGGTGAAGTTGCTACAAGTACTGCACACTGTACATTTTACACAACACTGTCTCCATCATTGGCTAAAAAGAGTTTCAAAATCTCCAGTACCTACTCTGTATAATCAATTGGCATACTGTACTTTAACAAAAACTAGAGTACATTTATTATGGGCCTTTGGAAAGATTTTAGCTTGCTTTGATAAATATATACTCATCTCTTTTCTCATGGCTAAAGTAGACTTTGTGCTTTTTTTCATCTTTCAACTCTCCCCATGGAATCAACTACTCCTTGTTACTTTGTAACCCATCCCTTGTTTTCCTAGATGTATCAAAGGATAGCGAATAGCAGCAGCCTATGCTATAAGCAAGGACACTCAAATATTTGGACATCCCCTGCCAAATGTAACATAAGAATATAAGAAAGGTTACAAAGAGGGCAGACCATCTGGCCAATTGTAGCCCATTGATCCAAGGCTCTCATCCAGCTGTTTCTGGAAAGAATCCAGTGTAACAGCTTCAACAACATGCTTGGGCAGCTTGTTGCACACTCCCAACAACCCTGTAAGAATCAAAAGTGCCGTCTGTTCTCAGGGGGTGAGAAATGCACTTCCACATAGTTACCAGTTGTGTCCTCTGTTTATTCTGAAATGGACCAACAGCTTACTGAACTCAATGCACTGAAGACGAACTGCAGCTCTGAGGCTGGTCCAGGCTAGGAAAACATCTGGGCAAACCCAACGTTTTCTGCTAGGGCGTTTGCTATAGGTTTGCCTTTGTAAAAAAAAAAAATTAAAAACAGAAAGGAGGGGGATTTGTATTTGTATCACATCTTCTCCTTTTTAGATCTATCAAGCACATCCAGCTGTATCCATCACATGAAACTGTCAATGTGAAATGTTGACATGAGCTTAGACGACAGTGCTGACGTGCTCCTGACACTCCAGAGCCACATTCACTGTGCTGTAAGGTGTGCTCGTGAGTTCTTCACTGTGGCCTGCTCAGTATGATCCAACAGCAAGCAATGGTACTAAGGGTTTCTTCAAGAATTCCAATCCTGTCATTAGAAGCAAGACTCTTTTAGAGTACACTAAAATGTCTATCACTGGGTATATTAACCTTGCGTTAATAGTCATGAGAAGGCGTTTTGTACTCTGACACCTGTCCAAAGGTGGGGGGAGGGAAATAACACAGCTACCACTGTATCTCATTTTTCATCTTCGCAATATTTCAATTATTGTCGAATTCAATATTGGCATTCAACAACAGCTGAATAAGAAATCACAAATCACAATCGGATGGGTGCTTGGTGATTTTGAGGGTGCTAATTTCTGATGAAAAATGAACCAAGCAGCATGTGTGGTTGCTGAAAATGAGAGTAGGTACTGTATATGTCATTTCTGCTCATTAAAAAGCAACATATCAGAAGGGCCCTAGCTGAGAAAAGCATTTTACACACTTCTCACTTCACATTACTTTTATTACAACCTCTCACTCATTTCCCAGTGCTGAATGTTAGGAATACTACACACTAATTGGATATCCAAGCATCCATGGCCTACCCTTTCCACACCTCCTAGGATTAATTCTTGTTTTCAACATGCCTTGCAGAAAACTATCCCAAAGAGGACTGGACCCATGGGAAGTATACTCTACTGTGTCAAACTGGCTGGATGAAACATTACCTCCGAGGTACCATTTGGGGTTTTCCTATGGCAATCCGATACTTGGTTTATAGCTCAACATCAAACAGTATTGCGGCACTGAAGGCAAACATTTGGAACGCTTGCTCTCGTATCAGGTTTCCATGTTAGGAAACATGCATTTGATAATTAATACGCGCATGGATGCTGATGGTAAGTGGATTGAAAAATAAAGTGCATACTGTATTGTTTAACTGTCCCTATGGGTCTAGACTTCTGAAAACACCCTGTATTTGTAAGTGCATTTGCACACTGTACTCTGTTTCCTCAGAAAAGCTTAAACGAAAGGGCTACAGAACTTCAGCCCCACAGCACATTTCCCTGAACAGCAGGTGGGTTTACATTGTTTCTGTTTGAAAGTGGATGATCTGGAGAAAGAGCCCAATTAATCACTGGCTTTCAAAAGCATTCAACACCTCCATAACTATCTTGACTCTCAAAGACACATCCAGAATTGTTAATGATATCCCACTAAACAGACACCTGTTCCACACCGAAAGACTAACAGATTCATTTGCGCTCTCTGTCACATGATTTACGAGCTTACATGATCTTCTGTTTGAATTTCTCTGTGGCTGAACAGGGACAACAGGCCTTCTGAGTGCAAATCTCCTGCAGGAAAAATAAGAGAACACAATAAAACCATCAGTTTTCACTACTGGCCTGGGATTAATAAACACTTTCTGCTGTGATACTGAGAATGTTCTAAAATATCCTTTTAAAAAAGGGCAGAAAACAATGCATTCTATTCAAACACGGTTGAAATAAATCTGAAGGCTTTGAATTTTCAGTCCCCCAGCCATGCCAAGAAACTGTTACAGCCCTGAGCTCTGCATTGCACATCAATGTAGTTTCAAGCGCCACTGATGTGCTATTTTCCATATGTTCCCCTTCCAAAGTGGATCAGTACCAGTGCTATCATTTTCTGTCATTACTCATTTCAAGCCAGACACGCACGGAAATCCAAAGTATTTTGGCAGAGCGGTGCAGAGCTCATTCTTCTTTCTGTCAGAAGTCAAACATTCAAACTTTGGTTGAAGTTGTAATGGGGTGGCGGATGAGCTCCGTCTGCGCAGGGCTGAGGGCTTCAGTCCACGCTGCGCAGTGCGTGACGCTGTGGTTTTAGCCCCCGGCGGAGTAAAAAACGCGGCACCGCAGTAGCTCACCTCTCCTGGAACTGTTTCGACGGGATCAAGCCTGCTCGGGGATTGGCATTGCCTTCATGTTTGGCTTGCCACCAAGTTGCATCATCTTGGCTCATGATCTGAAGGATATCTCCCCTCTTGAAAGCCAGCCCAGCTTCTTTACATGGGATCGCTTTGTCCTCATTAGGATCATAGTCAAAAAGGGATTTGACAAACATCTGGAAGGAAAAGGCGTTTACTTTAAAATTACCTACTACATCTTCCAAAGCACTGCTTCTCGGCAATGGTGACATTAAGGTGAAGTTCAGCGATTTCTGTGAACGCCCCGCAGTGCACCCGATAAACTTTCTGAGCTGCTGAAGGAGCTGCAGGCTTCTAAACCGGGGGCATACACAAAAGACGGCAAAAAAATACCACTGTTGTGTTCATGTTGTTACATAAATGGAATCGACATGCTCTCCTTAAAAAAAACATCTTGTCAGACATTTTCAGCCTTGAGCTAGCTCAGATTTTCAAACTCGCTCTAAGTAGAACCGTTTTCTTTAATGAGTTCCTTTCTTCTTTTTATGGAACAATGTCTAAATTATACACTCAAAGGATTCCAAGGCACTCATATTACATTAATAACCCATTTTTAAAATAGCTGCAGTCATTTAAGAGGGGCTGGTTTCCCTTGGCTATGATAGTCAACTACTGCAACACAGGAGAACAATAAATAGTAATAACAGAAGTAAGAGGACCCCTCACACAGATTCAACAAAAGGCTACAAACAGTCTGCTCTTCTGGTAGCTCGTGTGTGTCACAATAAATTATGCACAAAGTGCGGCCAACATGCATACTGAGAAAGAGTTTCTGAAGTATCGAGATCATTTATTCTACTGATTTATTGAAAGCTCCTTGCCAGGCAGTGAAACTGTTTCAGGAAAGGACTTTTGTTTGCTTCTTAACACATCTTTACAGAGAGCACACTTGAGGCATATGCACCCTATTTGCAGAATTTAAAGGTATAACAATGGAAATGCAAACTAAGGTATTAGTATTATTACTATCACTATTAAGGGCACACTAAGGGTAAAAACAAAGTCTGTTTCAACACAGGTTATTTCAGATGGGCTGTACAGATAAATGTCTAGCTGAACTCAACTCATAGGAAGTATCCAGGCAAAAATGACAGACGTTTCCCCAAATCATTGTTATATAGAAAGAAAGTACTCGGGGCAAAAGATGCAAAGATATTCAGACAGACACTTTTGCTTCCCCACCTCTAGCTACAGCCCTGACATCAGAACAGACTCATTTCCCCTGGAAATAAGGCAGACCATTCAGTCCCCGTGACTGGAGGCAGTGAGCAGGAGAATACGTTTAATTTCACTGTTTAAAACGCCACATGTGTGTAATACAATCAATATAATCTCTCTGGCAGGACATACCTTAGGCTCCTTGCTTGGCGTTTCCTCTTTGATGCCTGGTATTATTTTAAAAGTTATTGCCCCTTGGGACTGGGCCTGAAATGGGTAGAGAGAAGGAAGATTTATTTTCCTGAATTCAAATTAAACATCACAGCAATCGAAGAAACCTGATTTTATGACAACGGACATGAGTTATGGTAAGAAGGCAACTGGAAAGAGGCTCATTTATCCACAATACTTTTGTTTTTCGGTGTTTTCAAGAGCACGTTCGTGTTTTTGCTCTACAGGCTGTCCTAGCTGCCTCGGACATCAAAAGGCCAGACTTGAAAAGCTGTAGGACTCCAGTATATTTGAAGGAGGTAAACAGCCCAGCAGTGCATCATCTTAGAAAGACATTTCATGGAATGACCTTGTAAAATAATGTGCCCATGTTAACCATCAGCAACACATAGCATAGCTGCTCCAGACTACTGCATTAAAAGTCCCTGCCACTAAAAACATACCAATAAATCTTGTGCTAAATAATAAAAACAGATCTATAAACAGCAGGTGAATAATAACTTGCGCATACCAAAATGTGAATGATTTCCTCAGGCTTTTTGTCCTCCACAGGAATTCCATTCACTTCCCTTAGCTCATCCCCCACATGGATCAGACCTGCAAAACAAAACCGAACGCCACGGAAAACACGGCTGCCTTTAAGCCTTTTTCAAAAGCCGCACAGGATCCGATTCTAACGGATTTGCATGTTCTGTCAGACAACCCTTAACGGATTAAATGTATGATCGTTTACGGCCTCATACTTTGAAATTAAGTATTTTGTTTCACAACAAAATGCGAAGGGAGATCTGCAGACTATGAATACAACTGATAGAAAGTAGGCCTGAGTTCTGAAGCTACGAAAGACATCAGCTCTTACTTTAGAGCTTCACAACATCCGTTGACGTAACCACGTTTAAGGGAGAAAGTACTACACTAATTTCAGGTGTTGAAATATGTTCTTTAAGTTGTTTCAGAAACTTTTATTACGTAAGACTTTGGATGTGTGAGTGTCTCCTTTGTGATTGCAAATATGGAATAGGAAGTGTTTTTAAATTTTCCACTGTACTCCCGTTTCCCGATGTTTAACACTCTGAAAGAAATCACCGATGCATACGAAGATTCTTCTGAGCCTTTGAGCTCGAATAATTCAAAACTTACCACTTCTGTCCGCGGCACCTCCTCTCATTATCCTAGCAACAACAATGGCTCCGGTGTGCTCATCCCTTTTGATCGTTGCCCCCTAAGAGACAGACAAGGCAGGTACCGTGAACACAGAATTACTTACAGTAGATGTGAGAAACTGTAAATGCCTACCACCTACAAAAACTAAGGCAGTGGAGGAGCATCAAGATGTATCTTGTCATCCCGTGCTTGTTAAGTTCGGCAGAGGAGACAAAGCTGCATTATCAAATATCTACACCGAACTAGGGCTTGTGTGGGGGCAGCACGGAGGCACAGTGGTGAGCACTGCTGCCTCGCAAAGCTGGGGCCCCAGGTTCAATTTCTGGGGTGCTGTCTGTGTGGAGTTTGCATGTTCTCCTTGGCTTTGTGTGGGTTTCCTCCAGGTGCTCAGGTTACCTCCCATAGTTCAAAGACATACCAGTGGGTTAACTAGTTTCTGGGAAAACTGGCCCTGGTGTGAGTGTGTGTGTTTGTGCTGGTGTGTGTGCCCGGGTGAGGATAGGCTCCAGTGCCCTCCCCCAGAGGCTGGATGGAGAGGTGTGGTGGATGGAGAGGTGGTTACTATTTCACAAACCACTTTGAGCTTTTGCTAAATGACTGGAAAAAAAATAGAAATTGGTTTTAGAGTTGAGATGGGAAAGTGTTATTTAAAATGTAACGCACACTACAAAAAAACAAACAACAAAATGACAAGAAAACAAACAACAACAAAAAAAAACATCTGACTGAGGAGTAGTATGCTGACCAAAGGGATGTAAGTGTTTGTCAGCTGTGGAGAAGGATCTATCAATTGTGGTTGCTGTTACTTGAACGTGAACTTAAAATGATGGACAGGGTCTTGACAGATGAGGAAGATGGTCACCGCAGGGAGCATGTCAATGAAAAATGGTTTGCTTTTGTATTCTCATAATGTTTCGATAGGGACTAAATTATTTTAATTTTTTTTTGAGAGAACCTTTTTCATATATTACAAAAATGTGTTTCAAACAACTCTTGTCAAACAAATCTAAGAAATAAATGAAGCATTGCTTTTTAACATAAATTTGTTTCAAGAATAATTTTGGTAGGACTGTAATATAAACCAGACCAAAGTCATTTCTGACATTGTATTTCATGTTCATGTTTAAAGCCAGTGTTGTAAAAACACAATAATGGCAAGAAACCTACACAAAAGTTGCCTTCTTAGACTCAATAAAAAACACCTTTCAGACAGCAATGCAAACGCATAAATGTCCTATTTTTCCACTGTGGGCAGACTTCCCACAATAGAGAAAATTAATTTCATGGACAATTTTTCTAAAGGGGAAAAACAGGCACTTTAATGTTTTTAAAGGGCAGGCTTAAAATAGTAATTAAATCATACAGAATTGCTTAAATTAATGTTGTTAATGAGCATTTTCATAGACTCAGCTGGTAAATATTACAACCTGACAGCCCATTATTTAATACCATCTAGTATCCCACTACTTAATTTCTCCATATACAATGCTGCTTTAACACCCTGTTCACCCTGTTTTAAATCGTCATCATCATCATCAGATAACCTAGTTCAGAGCACCTTTCATTGTTAAAGTACAAAGAAAATAAAACGAACAATAACACTAAAACGCTGGGAGTGCTGCAAGGGCCGTGCAAAAACAAAAGAAAAACTGAAATGCAAATGAAAATAGAAAAAAAAATGAACTAAAATAAAACAGATATTTAAACAAGTTGCTGGCACATTTACTGAACCCCTTTGTGATGAACACTAAGAGGGAGGAACTATAAACTCTTCTCCACTGTAAACTCCTCCTGACTCCCTAGTCCTTGCTCCCCAGTCCTGTCTCACGTGACTTTGTATTGTCTATTATCTGGCACTTTCAAGTCAGAGGTGTCAGAATCCAGCCTTCAGGCCCCATGGGGCTTTCTGCTTGTTTTTCTCCCTCATGCTTTTAACAGCTCCAACGCTCTTATTATTTGCTCACCAGGTCGCATTTAATCATTTTCAAGATCCTTCACAGACGACGATTATATAATAGCCGACAACTGTTTTAGGATGCACTTCATTCAACGCCTAGGACCTACAGCACATTTAGATCTCTGGAAAGAAGACTGAAATATATCCCGTTAACCATACAATTAGGCCCATTAAAGTAATCATGAGGCCCCTTAGATCAACAGTCAGAAGCTTCTTCTGCAGAGACTCACTCCAGGCAGTATGCAAGCAGCTCCAGTCCCGCCTGTACAAACTGCTCTCCTTAATTTAACCAGCAGCCTGCACGGACCAGACACACAGCGCAGTAAACAAATGCAGTGTGGATTTTAAATAGTTAGAGCCTTTGAACACTGGTATTTGCCCTTTCTGTACAAAGCCAATGCGACACCTCTCTACAGGAGATTAAAAAGTGGTTCAGGGCTTGGGATCTCAGTCCTGATGAGCATCCAAACACGGGGACTGAAGGCCCTTCAGCAAAGGAGATCATCGCGATATGCAAAACCCCAACCAGGGTAACAACCAGGGTAACATTTAGCCCCTAGAGGACAGTGGCGGGTAGTGGAGGTACTTTGGTGGAAAAGTTCGGTTATAAAGGAATATATGATACTTAAAACCTTACTTGTTGCATACTTGGATATGCAAGTCTGTGTATTTCTTAGACATTGATTTTATTTATATAGTTCTTTTAAATACTATGTTACAGGTGGAAAAACTCTCTTCCCACCGACGTATAAGTAAAACCTAAGGAAATGAATCAGCACTGCACCACTATCAATACAGAGAGGGAGAAATGCTCATTTGCTTCCAATACACTTCCTGTCAATACACACACAGTTGGCATTTCTCCACTTGTGAGGACCTAGCTTCGACACCCATTCCAATTGTTTAACAAATCTTCATTTATCCAAAATTTAACATCACAAAATCTTTAACTTGCCAGAAAGGTAATTACTGCGAGCAAGCAATCATTATGAATTATGGGGATGAATATTAATTGGCTTTCACCGTATTACATTGCTGAGAAGCAGAAACATCTAAATAGACTTATAATTCTATAATGTTCTGTACTCTTGCAGGTTTTTAACGTAAAAAGTAATTAAGATCATGAAACATATAATTAGACTCAGAAAGGGGTGGCACTTCTTCAGCACACATGACTTAAACTAGACATTTCTGTCTAACCGCTGATCAGTCTCTTTGACTTTTAGGATTTTCTTCTTTACACAACTGCTTCAAGTTGGCGATACTTGAGAGCTTCCTAGCACGAACAGCTCATTTCAGGTCCTACCGTAACATTTCCTCCAGAATATGACTTGGCCAATCCAAAATACTACATTTCTTCTCCAGTCATTCTGTTGTAGATTTGCATGTAAGCTCAGGATCATTGTCTCGTTGCAAAACCCACTTTTTTGGCTCATCTTCAGCTGACGAATGGACAACCCGACATTCTGCTCCAGAATTTGTTGATACAACACCAGATTCCTGATTCTGTCTACGATGACAAGCCTTCTGGGTCCTGAAGCAGCAAAGAAGCCCAAAACCATGATACTCCCACTACCAGACTTTATGGTCAGGATGAGGTTCTTCTGTTCAAAGTATTTGGTTTTCGCCACACAAAAACAAAATTCTAATTGCTGCCAAAAAGTTCAACTTTTGACTCGTCTATACAGAGAACATTCTTCCAGCCCTGTGGATTGTTGGTGAGATGGGCGGCAAGGACCTTTCATAGAGCAATGGTTTATTTCTGGCCCTCTGCCAAAGAAAACCATTCCCATTTAGTCTTTTCCTGATGGCTGACACATGAACACTGACATTATCCTCAGTGACAGAGGCCCGCAGTTCCTTTGATGTTACCGGGCTGCTCTTGGGCAGATCCTGGCACTATAGTCTGATGTTTGAAATGGGTATGAACGTGTCTAGCATTAAACATATTTCAGGATTTGTCATTTGTACCCCAGTCACTTCTGGATTTACCACTTAATTATTGCTATTGATCGTTTAAAATAATTGTTTATTTTATTAAATAGTTACAGCTCTTAAATAGTAACAGAAATTAGCATAAACCCCAAGACAGGTCCTAGGTTCCACTGTCCCCCTTAATTAGGATTAATGATTCAAACGAACAGGGGGGTTTAATTCATGAGCCTTTATGAGTTTAAACAAATCGCTATGTATGATAATTATGGGAGGATCTGACCGTGGAATTCTCGCCTATTTCTGTACATCGGTAACTTATCACCATTCAAAAGCTGCGCAGGACACTATTTTAAATCCAATCTGAAACGACACAAATAAAATATCTCTGATACTAAGTGCAAATAACAGTTAAAACCAAGAAATCTGTCCTAATTCTTTTACATAAGAGCTCGGCTGTAACAAAACAAAACAGCAGTACAGTGGTACTCCTGGATGCCATCTCAAAAGATGGGTTCCATTATGTACAGACATGCTTGACAGTTTGTGAACCCTTCAAGGTGGTCATTATTTTAGATATTACAGAGATATTATATGAACCTGAACACTTAATGAATATATAGAATGAACATCCTAAATAAAGACTTCCCACACATAAAAATGGGATTTGAATGCGTAGATTATTAGACTGTCCTGCCACAGCATTTCAATAGGATTCAGGTCAGGGCTTTGGCTTGGCCATTCCAGGACACGGAACCTCTTTTATTATACTTACCTCAAGTAAGTCCAATAAAGCCATTCTTTATTGGACTTACTTGAAAGATTAGGATCGTTGTCTCGTTGAAACACCCACTTTGTGCCCAGCTTGAGTTTTCGACCTGGTGGCCTGACATTCCTTGATTGTTCTCAGAATTCATGATTCCCTCAATGATGTCAAGTTGCTCAGGGCCAGAGTAAGAAAAACAGCCCCCATCAAGGACATTTCCACCACCATGCTTGACAGTAGGGATAAAGTTTTGTTGGTGGTAGGCTTAGTTGGCTCTTCACCAAACATGGGCCCTCTTGTTGTGCCTGAAAAGTTCAATTTTGGACACATCTGTCCAGAGAACAGACTTCCAGAACTCTCCAGGCTTGTCCAGGTGGTCTCTGGCAAACTTCAGACGGGCAGC